CAACAGCTGTAGAAGCACGGCCTTCACGCGGCTGAAACTCTGCATGGCCCTCCCGAGGAACTCGACGGAACTCCATTTCAGCTGCGAGGAAAAATTTGGTAACCCATTTTTTTTTTCTTTTATCCTCTCTTTAATCCTTAGTATCTACACATGTTCACCACCTTGTTCCGGTTGGGGCAGGCCGCGGGCCGCACGCACCCACGGCAGAAACGCCTGCGCAACCAGCAGCGGAAAGACGAGGGAAACCTCCGCGTACACCTTCGCGTATTCGCCGTCGAGGCGTATTTTGCCCCAAGAGATTGCCTCATCTGGACGGGCGCCGGCGTCGCTGCCGTCAAACTCCTGCCCGTTGTTGATGAACACTGTAAAGTCGGCCCCATTACGCATAAGGTTGGCGTTGCACACGTGGTGCTTCACCACACCTCCGCCGAGAATAATCATCCCACTTCGCTGGCTGCGCATCGCAAGCGCATTAAGGCGGTAGATATCCGGCACAAGGTCCAACTTCAGCACGGCGGATGTCGACTTCTCCGTCGCCAAGACAAAGTTCATGACGTCCCCGTCAACGAAGGATGGCGAAAAAATAGGCACACCGTTCTTGGCTGCCCAATACAACACTGTGCTCTCCGCACGCCGCTCCGCCTCTGCCACGACCTCCGACGCGTCCCCCACGTTCTTCTCAAGTAAGGCCTCTGTAAATAGTGCCGGTAGCCACAGGCCGGCCAGGTACCACACTATGCTTGGGCCAAAGCCCCACACACAGACATCGTCGTACGCCGCAGGAATTGGCTTGGCGGCTGAGGCGGCCTTACAGTGCTTCTGCTCTTCGATTAGGCGAGACACCAGCCGGCGCATGACGGATGAAAACAAGGACGAGTCCGGCCCCGTGGCACCCCCGCCGTAGTTGATGTTTCCGAACCGAGCACCCACCGCCCCGGCCACTGCAGGAGCTTGTTGCTGTTGCTGTGAGAGAGCTGCATCAGTTCCCCCGTGCGTGGCGATGTGGTACGGTTCACACGCGCGGCGGATGTCGTGCTCCATCGCACCTCCACTCACCACCAACGCATGAATGAGCGCCTTGGAAACACGGGCCGAGAACAAAGCGGTTGGCCCGTCAGTATTGCCGAAACGCGGCCTACTCATTTCTTCAGCCTTGGCCGCCGGCAAGACACCGTCCGGTAGGGGAACACACTCAGCACAAAGGAACCGAATCGCCTCACGGCAGCCAGTCCCAAACAAATTCGCTGTCGCCCCAAGAAAAATGGTCGGCTGCAGCAACGGCGGGGACATTAAGTCCTCCTCTTTATTCGCCGCACTGTCCGGCTCGGTCAGCTGGGTCACCGGCACGGAAGGGGGCTGCGGCTGCAGCATCTTCCTGCATATATCAACCGCCTGTGCGAAGTGGGAGGCCTGGTAGCCCAACGTCGCGTACTGCTGCAAGGACGCCGACACCGACTTGAGCTGCTCGTCGGCAGGGCCCCGCACGGCCTCCAACGTGCCGAACTGAAAGTTGGTGTCGGACGATCGAACGAGAACGGCGTCCAGCGCCAACTCCATCGCAAACGGTGATCCTCTTCTTCTGCACGTGCCGCCAAAGAGAGTGAGTCGGCAAGAGAAATCGGAACAAAACGGCGGCGCCCAGCCTCAGGAAGGAAGGCGGGAACCCCAACAAGAAAACAAAACACGCAAATATAAGACCAATTAAACAAGAAAAAAAAACACATGAAGAACAGACGCCAAAAGGAAAAAATAAAAAATAAAAACAACAAGTAAAAAAAAAAAAGGGTAGGTGGCGATGCTGGTGAACGGCGTAGGAGATACAAGACGGTCATGGGTACCAAACTACGTGTTGTCCCCTCCAGCGTCCACAGCGCTTTCGCCACCGACTCACTTCCCCCGCAACTACGCGTCAAACGAGCACACACACTCGCGAAGACAAAGCGCCATCACAAGGGGGGGGGGGGGGAAGGAAACCGAGCTAAGCCCAAAAGAGTTCAGTGGAGAAGGAAAAATGAGTAAAATCGCTTGCAATCGCTCTACTGGCAGCTTTAGTGACGATGGAAAAAATATGTGGGGGTGGCGCAAAACCCACCACAGAGGCTGTCGAAGACGCTCCGTCCAAAAAAAAAAAACAGCGACGATAAAGCTCACACTAGGTCTCTTTGCACGAGAATGAGAGGAAAATATGGGTGGGGCTACAGCTTGCTGGCGTCCATACTGGAAGGGTTAAGTTGCGCCTTTCCCGTTGGCGTTAGGTCTTCGAGACGGGCACGGCCCTTGAAGTTCACTTCAAAGTCGTCCGTAGCAAAGTCAGGCGGAGTGCCGCCTCTTAGGAAAGCCTTCCATTGTAACTGCACATACTCGATATTCTTTGCACAGCGCGGCACGGCGGCAATGTAGATAACGTTGCTATCAAACTCCCCCTCATGCTGTGCCTCCACACTGTGCACAAGGTCGCAGTGCCAAAAGACGCAGTCTCCGGGCTCCATGTTTGGAATAGAGCATTCGGCCTCCAATAGTAGGCTGTGCCACTCTGGGAAGACGCCCAGAGCCCGCCCCGGTAGGGCTCCACAGAAGTCGTCCTCGGGCACATCATCCTGCAAACTGCGCAGTAACATGTACGGAATTGCGTTTACAATGGGAACAAGGCGTAGGGTTCCCCCGTTTTTGCGTTGTGGAGAAAGCGCCGTCCAACCCTGAAAGGTACGAAACGCAGAGCACATCGCGGGAGACTTGATCTCGCGAACTTCGGTGCGGCCCTCCCCGTCAAATGGATCATACGCCCGCCAGTTCCCAGAAAAGACGTTGCGGTACACGTGGCGGAAGTTGGAATCCAGCCAGCGCTCAATCGTGCCGCTGTCCACATGAGGTGAAAGCCCAAGTGGAGGCGAGTGAGGTGGGCGACGACGCAGCCGATCCGCATACGTGAGAATGTTTTTGGTGTCAAAATGCTGCTTGCCATTAGACTCCGACTTCCAAAATGAGTTCATAAAGACCTGTACGGCCTTCATGCGATCGCTTTGTCGGGCCTCCACCTGGGGCTTAGACCAGTAAACGCCGTAAATCTGAGGCTTACCCTGACCAAGCGTCGAAAAATACTTGTCCACTGCGGCATGCTTAAGTCGTTCCTCGAAATCGTTTTCGTCCAGGTAGGCCTTGACATCCTCATTCCATTGGGCAGCCACCTGGCGCGGGAACACGCCGTGAATGACGGCGCAACCACGTTGGCGAATTTTGTCCTTGAGGGCTTCACTGACAGTGCCGTCAATGATGTCCTGCGCCTGAACCTCCGGCACGGAGGCGACGCCAGCAGCCTGCTCCTTCTTAATAATCTCTACCTGGGCAGAAATATTTTCCTGCAGTTCTTCGAACACCTCCTTGTAGTTCGGCAGTTGCTCTCGTAGCATACGCTTTGTTTCGGCGATCGTCGCGCGGACGTCTGCTGGCATAGGCAGGTAGTTCGCTGGCATAGGCTTTTGGGGCTTCACAGAGTATTACTTTTTTCTTTTTCTTTTTAGCTTGGATCTTCTCTGAAACAATGAGCATCAGAATGAGTAGAGGAAATGGAAAAGGGGAAGGCCAAAATTGGAACTACAGGACCAACTATGTTTTGTTTTTCCATAAAGACGAAAGGTGAGAGGGGAGGAAAAGGCGTCCCTTCGCACTTTCATCAACATTTGCCTTGTCACCGCAGAGATGCGTGTGAGTGTGTGCGTGTGCATGCACTCAGGACCCGGTAGAGAGTGGGAGAGAAAGTCCAAGCCACCTCCTGCTCGGCTCGACAAAATTAAGTATCAACAAAAAGGTGAAGGGTGTGGAAGGGCGTTGCTGCGCTCTCGCAAACGGTTGAGGAAAAACGAGTCATCCCGCCTGCTCTTCTGAGGTTCGTCTGCGGCGTCGCGGAGGTTGCTGCATCCGCGCTAAGAGGGCGAAATGCTGCGCCGCCAGGGGGAGCGTCCGCGTGACGCAGCCGCGCGCGGTCGCCCTCTCCCGTCCGGGGGTCCGTTCCATCGGCGCCCCCCCGTTTCTCCTTCCCACGCGACTGTGGGCGTCAGCACGAGGGAAATACTTCCCGCAACGCGCCCAAGTGGCCGCCCAGGCAACGCACTCGTTGCGTGCCCTCTCCCCACCGCACCGGGTGCGTGTTCCTGCAGACGGACCCTCTGCCGCCCACGGACGCCGCTTGAAGGCGGGCCAACACGACAACCCCCTATTGCCTCTCTAGCGCAGTGTCTCATGAGTAGGAGGAAAAACAAGCCAAAAGGAAACAAGGAGTGTGGTTGGAAAGGATATGGTTGGACAAAGGTGAAAAAAAGGAATATGCCGCAAAAAAAGAAAAAAAACCACAATAGTAATAAGAATAAAAGATTTCATATCGTCATACTTTTCTCGCTTCTTTGTCAAATCCAGTATACAAAAGTTGGAAGGAGTCTTGGTGTTGAACACATGGAACACATAAGAAAAAAAAAACCATTGCAGGTCCCCATTCCACTGTCGGGATGGAAAAAGAAGTTTGCGAGGGGGCTCATGCAGAGTAGCAGGCATTTTTACAACTCGTCTCATCTTTTGGCTGCCGCCCAAATTCATGCTTTTTTTTTTTCGGTTCTCTTCCTTGTTGCTGCTTATTAAGTTGCCCCACTACACCCGAGTTATTTGTATTTGTTCTGCTCCCTTTTTTCACACCATTGCCGCTGCCTTTTTTTTCTCTAGTGAGGAGAGGGATAACCCTTCACATGAGGTTTTATTTGCTAAAGCATTTTGTTTTGTTCTGTTTTCGTCTTATTGGACCATTCACATCTTTTTTTTTTTTTTCGTCTTCACCGATGGCCCGGACCGTGCACAGCACCCACCCTCATTGACACATCGCTGGGAGACGAAGAAGAGACATGCATACATACGCAACATGATATATTTGTATACGTTGCCCCTAAGTAGTACGCAGAAAAGTAGCAAAAGTAAAGCGTGGGAGAGGGCCGCTAAAGCGGCAACGCCTCCTCCTCTTCCAAGTGCCTCATCATCATCTCCTCCTCCTTTGACACTCCAATGCTAGCAAGGGATGCACGCTCCAGTTGAACGGCCTCACCGTATAGAACACGGCGACACGACACCAGCTCCTTCCCAATCTCCGACTTCAGCCACCCGATGATGAAGGTGGGTGTCCAGCCGCGTGGGTTCATGCAGCTCACATAAGTAGCCATTGTGTTGTTGCCAATGGGTGTTAGCTCCCATGCCCACAGGCAGGAAGCACGCACGCGATTATCGGACATCTTTTCACGTGGGCCGTAGTCAATGCTACATCCATACACATAGTATACATCGTCCCTTTCAACATACTTTTTTTCGGATAGAAAAATAAACTCGCGACCTGCGACTGGTGGCGGTGCCCAATATTCCTGGTACTGCACGCTGGAAGTTGGGGTTGGCCTTGCAAGGATCTCAAACCGAAGCATATTGGCGGAATACTTTTTCCGACTGGCCTCATCATCACTGTGCATGATGTCAAGCACTTGCTGCGGCGTCACGCCCATGAAAGAGACCGTCGCCTTGGCGAAGTTAAAGGGGCCAATGTGGGGACGGGTAAAGAGGTGCAAGTCACCGCCCTTGTCGGGGTCTTGGTAGTCCACAAGACGCCACTGGTGCTCCGCGTCATTTTCGAGGAGGTCCTTTGCGGCGGCAAAAACGTTGTCAAGAAGCTCCTGCGCCCTGGGACCGTCTTCAGGGTCTTCCATGCGCTGCAGCGGCAGGGCGCACGGATACGGAGGCTGTTCTGTGCCGGCGGCGAGGCCTGTCTTGGCAGCGGTGCGGTAGGCCGCCTTCCCAACCTGAGAAACAACGTTCCACATCTTGTGCTCTGTACGTGGCTCGCACCGACAACGTCCAGTTCTGTTTTGTTATTATTACTTTTTTCTTCTTTTTTTTTTACGTGCGGGGAATATAAATCAGCCCACTCCGTACAAAGACTGGGAAAGAAGAATGGCAAACAAATTTGCACAGATGCAAAGCGCAGAGAGATGTGACTCACACCATATTTATCCCGTCACACACACGCACACGAATATGCGTGTAATACAAGGAGGAGAGTTTATTTTTGTTTATCCCCTGCTTAACGAATAAAATCAAACTACGGCGGCGTTAACGTTTCGCTCCGTTACGGTAGCTCAATACCGCATGCAAGCCGTAGCACGTGTCGCAGTGAGCGCATCCACCGCCCCATCACATCGCTCACCATCTCATTGCGCAAAACGACAGCAACAATTTTGCGACGAAATTCTTCCACGGCACCCTTGTTCACGCGGTCCACATACACGCCGCCCTTTCCAGAACCGTTGCCACCTTGGCTCTGGATGCGATCGAGACGGTAGTTGTACCGTTGGAAATCAAGGTAGGCGAGAAAGAGACCATTCGCTGGCACCATGGGCACGCCACAGCGCACTGCCTTGTTCAAGAGGTGCTCGCGCAAATGCTCTGGTGGCAAACCAGCGACGCAGATGGAGATAACGGCTCCTATCATCTTTCGGATTTGGTTAAGCATGAAACTCTGTCCATGCAGCTCAATTCGCACCACCTCAAGACCGGCCGGGGCGCCACTTTTCGTCCCTTCGCAGGAGGCAGAAAGGTACACGCGCAGCATATGCTCTCGCATCTGCTCCCGCTTCTTCTCAACACTAGCCTCATCCTTCTCTCCCTGCGTCAAGAGCTCTTCGCCGTCTGGGGAGTAGCATCGTGACGGCGTCCACTGCTGCAGGGCTGACGCCACAGCAGCATCCGCGGGGTCAACAACAAACGGATCCCCCACCGTCACGGAGGTGATGTAGCGCATAGATGCAGGGTCACTTGCCTGGCCCCCAGGCGTGAAGTTATGGTACGAGTGTGTTCCCTCGTAGAGGCGGAAAATACTGCGTGCGTGTTCTAGTCGCTCGGGCGCAAGGCGGTATTGCGACACGTGCCGCATGGCGTCCTCAGGGATGGTGTGAAACACCAACAGCTTCTCAAAAAGGCCGTCGTGAAACTTTTGCACGGTGTCATCGCCGCTATCGCCCATCACCATTTGCTGCTCCTCTCGCCTCTCCACCTTTTCTCCCCTTTCACCTGCCCCGCCATCCCCTTTCGTGCTCGCCACAGCACTGTCGTCGCCGTTCACCTGCGCCTCTCCCTCCTTTTTCGCCTCCACCCCGCGCGGACGCTTCTTTCCCAACGGGGCAGACGTCGGTGCCTCTTCCGCTCTTGTGGCTCTCGGGCGTGCAGAAGTCACGCCAGGGAATCCCACCTCCTCCAGGGTGGGGCGTGACGGGGCAAGCGCCGGCGGAAAGTACTCGCGACTGTATTCCTCCGGGCCCATAAAGGCAAAGGTTGGTAAGTAGTACTCATAGGTGCGTGCTCCGCACAACATGTAGGCGTTGAAGCTACGCGTAACCGGAACAAGTTCATACACCACAATGTCGTGTGGCAGAACTGCCATTAACAGACGCCTGGCCTCTTCCGTGTCGTACTCCGTGGTGGAACCCTTCGCGTAGGGAAGCATGACGTTAAGTGAAATCACGTTGCGCAGCGCATGGACCCCCTTGTCCGTGCGGCTAGCACGGTCCCAGTTGAGCTTCTGTTGCACCTTTTCCTGCTCGTAGTTCTCCTTCGAAATCATGTCGGTGCGGTGCAGTGCCCGCAGCAGCTCCTCCTCGATGGTGGGGTAGTCCGGCAGGTGGTTCCACTGCAGGCCGCAGTAGCGCTCGCCCACGTACCCAAAAATAATCGCGACCTTGCGCTTTGGCCGCCTGCGCGACTGCCCGTCCGCCGCCGCCTCGCTTTTCCCCGCGCCGGCAGACTCCACAGCGGCGGCGGCGGCATTTGCCTCACTAGACATTTCGCTGCAGAGCAAAAGTAAAGGAGCGACAGAGGCAGGAATGCAATGAAGTAACTCGAGGGAGATGAAAATAATACAAAAAAAAAGAAGGAGGGGGTGGAAAGAAGTGAATGCGGCGGCAGCTCATTGGCACCCGCTTGAAACCATGCCATTGCTTGCCCCCCACCAACACCGCAGCGAAGAGAAAAAGGGAGGAATATATAATAAAGAAACGTGGCTCGCGAGCCTTACACGTCCAAGCGAAGAGAACCACGCAAAAACAAAGCAAAAAAAAAACAGCAACGAAGTGAATAGCCTCAACATTCATCTTCATCCTCAATTACATGCCATTACAAAGAGTGCGGAAAGGAGATATAAAATATTCGCTTTTGTTTCTTTCCCGTTAAATGAGAAACAGGTTGAACGCAACCTTTCATTTTGTCGCCGTTGCTGCTGCTGCTGCAAGGAGGGCGAAACGCGTGTGGTGCGGCTGCGCCGATCACCTGCGGCGGCGTCGCGACTCCACGTAGTTCGCTACCATGAGCAGCAGGTGGGCGTTTACAGCCAAGTCACCCATCGTCGTGCACGTCCGCTGCCGCTCCGCCGGGGCGAATTGCCCCCAAACAAGCACAAGTGTCAGCAGCGCATTGTGGACCGGCTCCACGCAATGCGACGGAAAGCTGCTCTTCAGCCGAGCCAACGTCAACGGCCACTGCACGCCGTGGTGCGCAACGCTGCGGAACGCGTCTCGCTCTTCACCTTGAGAAAAGCACGGTAGCAGAGCCGTCTTGATTTCCTGGTGCTTTTCTCTGAATAGCTGCTCCCCTCTGGGGCAGGGAACCGCCGCGACGACGCCCCGCCTCAAAATGCGATTGAGTTGCTTCAACTTGGGGAGGTCCGTCTCGTAGTTAACAACAATGGACCGCAGCCGCGCAAACGCCTCGTCCATGCGCTCCTTAGCGGACGCCGCAGCAGAAGGCAACGCCCGCGCAAAATCACCCCCACTCTCGTTGCCTTCAGAAGAGTGAAGCTGAAGACGTGACACGAACCGCCTGGCGTACTTCAGCCGCAACTTCGCATACTGCGACTCCGCCTTGACCGCCGCAGCCTCAAGGTGCAGCAACGACAACTGCCGCTGATGCCCCTCCTCCCGCTGTGAGTTCCATTTAGTCTGCAATTCGTGGAGCCCCTGACGGAGCGCCGCCACCGACACCCGCGTCGAGTGCGCCCGCACCTCAGCCGTCTGACGCGCCATCGCCGCCTCGCATCGTGCCTCGCCCTGCTCTCGGATTTCGCTTCGCAACCTCACCTCCTCCACCTCCTCTGCCGCCTGCAGACCGGTGGTGTCGGTGCCAGCGGCGCAGCCTACGTGTTTTACCGCAGGCGAAAGTTCCACCTTCTGCAGGGTGGTGAGCCAGTCCTCACCGGCCCTCAGCAGCGCGGTGAAAAGCTCGCCCAGTGTCGTAAATACATCCCGCTCCAGGGCAACTACCCTGGCTGCACGCGCTGAGAGGCGCACGCTGCGCTTGAGACGGTCCTGGCAAAGTGCCGCGCGTTCGTTGTCCGCCTTCAGCAGGGCCAGCTCACTCCGCAGTGCGTCTCGACGCTGCATCATGTCGAGCAGCGGGTGGTTGTTCTCACCGTTCTTGGCCGCCTCCAACGATGAAAGTGGCTCTCGCGGCCGCAGCAACGACTCTAAATTGGCATTCCGACTCTCGCCGTCTCGTGACCGAGGAGACACTCCGTCCCCAGTCGCTGCTGAGTTTCGCCTTGTTGGGTGCGGCTCTGCGGGGCCCCGTGAAGAGGACGCGGACGCAGATGCCCGAAATGTCACATGCCGCGAAGACGCGAGGCCCGCCGTTTCACGGTCGACCCCGCCCTGCGCCGTGTTTGGCCGCAGCTGCCGCAGCGCCTCCAGAGCGCAGAGGCGGGGGGCCTTGCAACTGGAAACGTCCCCCAACCCATTCGCCGCTTCTCGCGACGCAAAGCGGTTTACATCAACGACAAGCGCCTTGCAAAGCGTCGCGAGATCCTCCAGCAGGCGCGCCCGCTGGGTCGCGGCGTGGTGCATGCCCGTCACAGCATCGCGGAACCGCGCACCGCCCTCAGTGGGAGGCGACCCCCCCAGCTGCATCCCCACAAACGTGTTTCGCGCAGTCCGGTATGTGGTGAGGCTCCCACCCTCCCCTTCGCCGCAAAAGTGGCCCACCCACTCCTCTCTGCCCTTCCCCCAAACCTTCTCACGCCCTGTGGATCTCCCTCGCTGCGCGTGGGCCTCACTCAGAGAGTGCGAGTAAGACACCAGAAAAGAAGGAGAGACGCGGATACACGAGAACATCAACAACAAGAACAGCAGAGGCAAAAGAAAAAGGTAGGGATGCCGCGATGCCAGAGAAGGCCGAGTGCATCGTGCCCACCGACTGCAGGCATCCCTCAGCAGTGGCAGGCCTCCTTGCAACTCTCATTCAGTTACGTGCTCCAGTTTTAAGCGTGTTGTGCGCATGTGCATCTCTGGTTTCGCTTCATTTGTTTGCTTGGTAGGGGGGAGGGAAGCTGCTTTAATTAAACCTGGAGTCCTGTTTTTCTCGGTTCCTCCTTTTTTTTTTTCATTCCCTTTTTAACGAAGGAAAGGTGATCGCACGAGGAAGGGGCGCAAAAGGAGACATATAATATGTCGTGGGAGACACAACACGTGCAATGCCTCACTCCACTCCCCGTCACTTCCTCGCCGCCTTCGCGCTTGCCCCCTTCTTCTTCTTCTTCTTCTGCGGCTGCGGTGGCTCGCTCGCGGGCTGCGGCTCCGTCGCCTTCGGCAACTTTGCGTTCCTCGCTGAACGCCCCTTTTTGTCCTTGTCGATGCCGGCGCCACGCGGCAACGCGCTTGACGCCTTCTTGGATTTGGTGCCCTTCTTCCTTTTATGCGCCGCCGCCCGCTTGTCCGCGGCGTCCGCCCCGGTGGGCGCGCCGAACTGCATCTGGCCGTCCTCGCCAAGCGTGAACAGGCCGTCATCGCCGTCGCCGGCCGGAGGGGCACTCTCGCCGTCCCCCGGGTCCGCGCTCCCCGCGGCATCGTTTTCCTCCTCCTCCTCCTCGTCGCCCCCGGCCTCCTCATCGTCAAAGCCGTAGAGCAGTGCAGGGATGTGCTCCACCGCCGCACATGACGCGAACGCGCGCAGCCGGGCATCGTCGAGGGGCACCACATACGCCGCGTTGAGAGCGCTTCGCTGCACAACCCAGCGACCAAGTCGTGGCTCCTTGCTGCCGCCAACGAGGAGGGCGTCGCCGCTAGGAGTAAAGAACAAAGACGTCACAATGGCGCCCACAGGTATCGACGCCAGACACTCAAACGTCGTTGCGGTCACCGCTACGCCCTCTGTGTGGTCAGCCGTTGCAGCCAACTTTCGGCCGGTCTCTGGGTTGACGATGCGCCAGAGTCGCACATTGCCGTCGTAACTCGCACTGGCGGCGACGTCCGTGTACGGTATCGACGCCACCGATGTGATGGGGTTTGCGTTCTGCTGACGCCGTCCCCGCGCCTCTTCACTCGCACCGCTAGCCTGCTGCAGTTGGTCCGCCACTACTGCCTTCTCCAGTCCCGTGCCGTCGCCCACGAATCCGTAGCCGTGCGCCGCCTCCCGCACGGCTAGCGGCTTCCGTTTGCTGACATCAAACAACAGAAGTGCGCCGTTGGCAGCACCGCAGAGCACGACATTGTCGTTTAACATTGTCACGCACTCGAGCACCACCTTCACACCAAAGTGGGAACCTGCGCTGAACTCTTGCTGCGTCGCCGCGTCAACCTTCCAGAAACGCATTGTGCCATCCTCCCCAACGGTGGCGCAGCGCTCGCGTCTGAGACTGTGAATGCCAAGCACGCGTCCTTGATGACCAAAGAGTTTGTCCTGACAAATCATCTGCGGCACTGACCACACGCGCAAGGTCTCGTCGCTGCTGCAGCTGTACAGAGTGTCGTAACGAAAAGTCAACCCCGTCACTGCAGAACGGTGCATAGATAAAAACCCCATATGTTTTCGCGTGCTCGTTACCCACACACTTATTGTGCCATCCGCGGCACCAGCCGCGATGTAAGATGTGACACTGGTATCCACAGTACTACGCTCGAACAGGGCGCGCTGCGAAGGACGCACACCACGTGTGTCAGACACAGCAATGGAAAGCACCGCCGCGGGCAAAAACGGACTGAGAAGAATCTTCTGTGAGGAATTCGAGGAGAGTGGCGGGGAGGGGCCACCGCGCAGCTCTGCCACGTATACGGCCCCCGACTTGTCCCCAAGCACCACCAACTCCGCCCCAAGACCGCACACCGCCGTCACCGCATTACTGTTGTGTCCAATACGCACCATCTTGACACTTGCCGTCGTGGCACCACCAGCGTCGCCTGGAAGAGCTGCTGCCTGGCGTTCTTCCTGCTGTCGGAGAAATCCCGCTATTGGGGTGGACAACAGACGTGACTTGGTGCCCGCCGCAATTGCCGCCTCCTCCCGCAACCGGCGCTGTTGCTCGTCAAACAAGTCCGCGTCCAGGTCGTCGTCAAACTCAAGCTCCTGAAGCCGGGTGTTGACGTGGTCCCCAATGGCGCGCAGCATATCCGCCGGGTTCTCCACCGAGGCCACCCGCGGAGCCACCGTGTGGTTCTCCTCCTCGGTGCCGGTGCGCCGGCGCTTCCCAACTCTCCCCGGCCTCTCCGCCCCGTCCGCCTCCCCGCGCATCCGCTTCAGCTCCCGCTTTCGCTCCGCTGAAGCCGTCGCGGCAATGGCATGCCGCCGCTCTGCCTTCTTCTTTGCCAGCATTGCGGAAGCAAGACACCAAGCAATCCCTGCGACGAAGTCGTGATCGCTGAGCCCCACACAAAGAAACGAAAGAAGCAAAAGGAAAGTAGAAGAAAGAGGAGAAAAATGTCGGCAGGCGCTAGGCGGCGGGGAGACACGACGACAGGCAGACAGCACAGAAGCCGCAGAAGAAGAGAAAAAAAAAGAAAAAAAACAAAGGGAAAAAAGAACGCCAAGGCCTCCAGCAAAGCGGCTGCCAACACAACTTGCAGGCGTTCAGGGCGGCACTTCACATGGCAAAGACGACAGTCATCGCCGTCTGCCGCGTACCTGCTGAAACGACAGCTCACCCTCCCGAGCCACCAACCGTACAAGCACACGCAACGCACACCGCAGCATCTGCGGGTTTGACACTTCTGGGGAAAATAGAAGCAGCAGCTCTCTCATACGACGCGCGGCAAAGATGGCCTCTTGTGCCGACACAACCTCCTCACCACCACTACCAGTCACTGCCGAGGGTGAGAAGGGATTGCCTGTCCGTGTTGTGCAGAACTGCTCCATGAGCGACGCGACCAGGGCGGTGGTTGTTCGCATGACAAGAAGATTCACATCTTCCATGCGAACCAGCAGGAGCGGTTCAGAAGAGCGCGAGCACTGCGCAAGTCTATCCCGCTGCTCCACCACAATCCGCAGCAGTCGTTTTCGTTCGCGTGGGCTAAATTGCATCGCCACTGACGGCTCACTGTAGAGAAGCGTGGCGGTCCCGCCTTTGTGGGAGTTGCCTTTTAACACCGCAGCGAACCACTGAAGCCCATCTGGATGCATCCACACGGAAGGTAAGGTGTTCCTGGAAATATTCGCAGAGACGGAGGAGGTCAGCAAGGGCGGCGTCGTGTCGCCGCTCAGCAGCAACTGCTGTCGCTCTTGCTCTTTTACTCTCTCCGCCGACACGACAAGCGACAGCGGAAGGCACTCAAGTCTAGAAAGCTCCTCCTCCAACGAGGCGATTTCTGGCATCAACTGGCGCGCTACTTGATAGCTCTGCTCCGCAAGAGCCAGAAAAGACTCTTGACTGGCGGCAATGTGCACCAACAAAATCCCCTCGGACTTTGTGAACCTCGCCGGTGTTTCATCGACATGGGCGTCCAACGCGGCAATATTACCCTTGGCGCCACTCTCTGCAGCCGCCGCATCGCGCGCCCTGTCGCCCCCGTGGGGCTCACCAGTGAGTCGCTGTGACGTTTGTGGTTGCTGCTGCTGCTGCTGCTGCTCGCGCGGCAAGGGCTCCGCAGCATCGAAGGAAGTTGCCTCGACACGGCCCCGTCGAGACTCCCGTGCCATGACGCTCACGTTGGCGCAGTAGCACCACAGATACCCGGTGCTGTTGTACAGGGGCAAACACAGCGGCGCCCAGATCTCCCCCGCCTGTGAATTGGCAAGGCACCGCGTAAAGTTCAGTAGGAGAAGCGCATCGTCAACGTGGAGCGGCGCGTCCGAGTCCGCTGGCCCCACCGCACACACCACGCGTCCGCGGAAGAACAAAAAACTGTAAAGATGATCTCTTGCCGCTGCGCCGGGACCCACACTTGCAGCGGGGTTATTGCCGCTGCTGTCAGCGGAATGGGGAGTTGGGAAGGCGGTGCCGTGGTGCTGTGCGAGGAGGGACTCCAGCGACCGCCGCCGCTTCACCGACAGCGGCGCCGCGGCGAGGCAGCGAAACAAGTAGCACTCCTCGCGGCTATTGCGCCTAATAAGTTGCCGCAGCACCTCGGCGTCGGTGGAGGAGAGAAGGCGCCGAAGGTCGTAGGAGGGGCAGCGAGAAAGAATACTGCCCACATTGGGCACAAGACTAAGCAGCTGCAGGTGCATCTGCCGCAGCTGACGCATGCAGCTCCGCATGGACTCACCGGTGCGGGTCGCGAGGACGTAAAAAAGATCCTCTGCCGCGTGAAAGTACAGGCACAGATCCCCCGCCGTGATGCGATGAAGACTTTCATGATGCCGCTGCCGCAGCTCTGCAGCAGCGGCGGCAGCACCACCGCGTCTCTCTGCAGCCATGGCCATAAGGACTTGAAAAACACCAAACACTTCACTGAAGTCCCTCTCATCACCATGGCGTGTAAAGACAGGCTTGCCGGCGCTTGTGAGAACAAAAACATGCTTCCCGTGTCTACGCAAAATATCATCCGTGGCCACACACTGAGGCGCCGTGAGCAGAGGCGGGGGACCATGCGCCAGCGATGCGGCTGCCGCCTGCGGCGGTGACTGCACCTCGTCATTATGCTCCACTGCGGTGGTTGCACCCGCCAAGGCTGCGTCACGCACAAACGCGAGCTTCAGCTCCACGTTCCTCGCGGCACTGCGTGTCTCCTCCTCCTCATCATCATACACGCCTGCGCTCAGCTCCTGCACGCGCGCTGGCTCCCCCACGGAATCCGCAGCAACGTCCGCGGAAGCGCGGGCGGTGGCCCCACGAGCATCATCACCATCTTCTTCGTCACCGCCGCCCAGCCGCTCTTCCGCGGCGAACTCCATCGCCCCCTGCGAGGTGCCTCCGAGCCACTCGGCAGCAAGACCTTCATTGCCCCGCACACGATGCGCGCGTGCGAAGGAGGACGTTAAAACAAAAAGAAAAAACAACAATGAAAGGAGCCAAAAACAATTCTCGGCTCACGGAGGCCGGAGGGATCGCCGCACAGTTGCGGTCAGGAATTGGGAGGGAAGGGGGAGGGGGGCGCAAACGCAACCACAAGGAGGACTTGCAACACACAAATAACCAGCGCGAACAAAAAAGAAAGGGCAAAACAACTAAAATACAAGCAACTCAGAAAAATACATAAATTATTTTTGCCTGCAGAAACGTCCATCTTCACATCAGACCTCCGTGAAGCCGCTCGCCGCTTTCTTCGCTAAACGTGGGCACAGAGAACCAGCTCGGCGGGTGCCACGCGGCCCTGGTAAAGAGAAAGTAAAACATCACTTCGTAAAAGAAAAGCTGGTAATACGCCGCGTTCAAAAATCCACGGACGTCGATCCAAGCCAGGTTGTCCCATAAGTGGTGGTTTGTCAGTACAAGTGGGGCGCTCTCAAGCGTGTAGAAACCGCCCTCGCCGCGTGCACGCAGGGGGGGCTTGCCGTACATCAACTCTGGCCACATGGCACGCCACGTCGTCATGACTACGTGGAATGAAGAGTATCCGTCATAGCGCGCAAACCCCGCCGTCAACGCTGCGGCACCCGCCTTTGCCTCCTTCGCCTCATCGGCGTGTTGCAGCAGCTGCCGAACATTGTGGCTGACGACGGGCACCTGTGCAAATACAGCACCATAACTCTTCACCGTTGGAAGTGCGGCACAGTCGCCAAGGGCGAACACGTTTGCGTGGACACGGTGCTGCATCGTGTCAGGATGGACATCAACAAACCCCTCCGTCGCCGTCCCGGCACTCAGTCCGCTACTGCGGATAAAGGCAGGCGCAGCAAGCGGAAGATCAAGCAGAAGCAGCTGGTATGGCACCACCCTTTTTTCCCTCGTGACGTAGTTGTACAGCGTTGCCTCGCTCCGCACCGGATCTAAATGCGAAAGGTAGGAGCAATTGACAAAATCCACGCCACGACTGCGCCAGAAGGACAATATGCGATCGTTGAGAGACGAAGGAAAGGCATCGCTTGGCTGCCGGTCCGCCGTGACCGCGATGTACGGGCAGAGCGAGAGCTTATTAAAGTAGAACAGGTAGCGCCAAATGGTGTTTACGGTGCCAACAAATGTGCCGTCGTGCTGACGAGACGGGTACCGCATGATGCCATCTGCCACAAAGGAGGCAGGAGGCACCTTCACGTGCAGCACGGTTCCTTGAAACAAGTGCACCAGGCAGTCACGCGTGATCCCGGGATTCACCGCAATGCGATAACGATCCACCTGGGATGGCGAAATAAAACGTTGCAGCGGCCCAATTGTTCGCTCCGCGCCACACGCGACGACGAGCGCGTCGTACGGGTAGCGGCGCCGCTCCGACGATGCCGCACCACCAAGTAGTGACCACCAACTTTTCAGCAGTGCCACGCAGCGCGATACCAGGGAGGCGGAGTTGGACGCAGCGGATGCCGTTAATGGCGTTGGTGCCGCTGACGGCGCGGCTGCAGAAGCAGACTGGGGAGCTTCAACCACAACCACCTCGTTTCGTGCGGTGTCGACGTGCACAACTTCACCCTGCACCAGGGATGCATCACGTGTCACGTTCCACGTCGCAGGTGACCGCAGGAAATCGACTCCCCCGGTCGTATTAAGGTCGTAGCTGCGGTGCCCTACGTGGGCAAGGGGAACCATGGCCTGAAAGACATGCTTCTTTTCCCGCTCAATCACGGTCACGTGCAGCTCTGGCGAGGCGCTCGTGAGGCTTGCGGCAAGCGCCGAACCAGCCGCGCCGGCGCCGATGATGACAACACGTCTGCCGGTGCGTTGCTGCCGCAAGGCGCCTTCGGGACGCCGTTGACGCTCACGTGCCTTCTCCAGGGCAAAGTACAACGTCACCCCTGTTGTAAGGAGCGCAATGCCGCAAGAAGCAAAAATAAAGCGCCGTGACTTCTGCACTGCAAATGGATTTTCTTTCGGTCTCTGTGGATTCTTCGGGAGGTACATCTGCAACTACCACCAAACACTGCAAACACGTCGTCAAAGAGAAGCAACGCCACCAGTGAACACAGCCAGTCAAGGGGGACCAACTCAGCTTTTCACGGAAGCTCGCGCCCGTCTCTTCGCATTTGTTCTTTTCTTTTTCCACTTTTTTTTTATTTCTTTCTTCAATTTCGTTGGCAAGCTGCAGATGTGTCACCGTCCGCCCGACACTATCATACATGGGTCGTGGTTGCGCGTCACTTCGCGGCTGTCGTCAAGAAGGCCATACGCGCATCATGCCCCGCTCCTGCTGCAGAGCAGCGAGTCTTTGCATCCTTTCTTCCTTCTCACTGCGGCGTTGCAGCTCATTGCTTAGGTTGCCGTGGGCAAAGAATTCTAAAAGCACACCGACCGGTTCCTCAGGCCGCTGCATGAGCAGTTTTCTCATGGCATACCGCATAATGGCGTCAATCTCCGGGTGCTCCCGCAAGTACTTCGCATGGGCGATCTTTTCCTCCGTGAGGTTGCGGCGCAGGCTCTGCAGCTCCTCGGGAGTCATGATCGCAGTGGCCGCCTCAGTGAGAGTCGGAAAGTCCCCGGAGGCGGGGTCGCAGCTGCTGCGCGCCATGGCAGCCCGCGCCTCCTCCATTGATTCTTTTTTTCTTCCTTCCTTCTTTTTTTTGTTTGGTTGAGTGGGGCGGAGCAGCCGCCCGCACGCACGCACACCATAAAGGGCGGAGGAGACGGAAGAAGGAAAAGGCAAAAACGTATCGGCAAAGAGGCTGAGTGAAAATGGAGGAGGCGTCCGGAGGACGCA